CACCACACACACCTCTCATGCACACACCAGCACTCACACACAGCAACACACACCACACATACACACCACACACACCTCTCATGCACACACCAGCAAACACACACAGCAACACACACCACACATACACCACTCATGCACACACCAGCAAACACACACAGCAACACACACCACACACACACCACTCATGCACACACCAGCACTCAAACACAAACAGCAACACACACATGCACACACACCCCACACATACAACACATGCACACACACGCACAGCAACACACACCTGCATACATCACACATACACACACAGCTCACATAAGCGGGCAGCGTTATTTGGAAAACAGCATGGACGTTCCTGGCACTGATTACGTGCTCAACAAACACTGCCTGTATACAACAGAATCCTGAAGTCACAGGCCACGCTGAGGCAGAGGGAGGAGGCCTGGGTTTGGAAAAGCCTCTGCAGCTTCCCAGGAACCAAAGCAGCCAGCCCCGCTCCTGCCCCCGCAACAAGCTTTTCCCTCTCTCGACCTCCCTCCCACCTCCCCGATGTTGCCACGGCCCAGGGGCCGGGTCTGCCCTTCCAGACACCCACCTGCAATGTGGACACCTCCACCGGCCCGTTGTCTTGTCCTACCAGGAAAAACTCCACGGTGACCGTCTTCTTCTCCAAGCGCCGAGAAGCACCTGAGCGGTGGGTGAACAGCGGGAAGGCCCGGGCCAGGGCACAGGCGGAAGCAAACACCTCTGGCTGCTCGCAGACCATCTGTGGCACAGGGGGAGACGGGATAAGGGGTGCAAGGGCCGCCACCAGGAAGTGCAGGGAGCTGCTCTCTGAACCCCTCCAGAACATCGGTTCCCTTGCAGATGACATCTAGACAGAGATGTCCCACAGCAGCCGCCACCCCATCCCTCAGGTCACCCCAGGAACCGTGGAAGCACCATTGGTCATGCTCCAAGAGAAATAACACATTGGCCACCAGATGTCAACAGCCTGACCAGCCAGGAAAATGACGAACAGAGGGACAGACACGAGGTGGGCCTCAGGAAATCTAGGGTTGAGTCTCTGATTTGCCACCAAAATTAATCTGGGGCAAATCCCCGCGTCTCTCTGGACCTGTTTCCCCATCTACAGGGCAGAGATTATAACGTCCACAGCCCTTGGAGCACCGCGGCTGCCTCCTCTCGAAGCACTCACCACAATGCAGCGATGTGCTCCGGGTGGCAGGCAGGTCCGCACTAGCCGCGTGATGAAGTGGGCGGCTGAGGGGCTGTTGTGCCGGCTCACCCTGCAGGGCAGGGCAGCCACGGTGGCGTAGTTCAGGTAGAGGGGACAGCTGTCCGTGGGGTTGGGGTTGAGCGTGCTCAGGGCTGCCTGCCAGAGCTAGATCAGAAGGGAGAGACAAGAGACAGAGGCTTCAAACAGCGGCCCACGTGCCAGGAGGCCCTGCCCTGCGGCCACGACCACGCCTGCAGTCCTGGAAGGGGCACTGCGCAGCTCCCCGCCACCTCTGTCCCATCCTTAGGGAGATGTGTCGCCTCTCTGCAGAGCTAACTGTCTCTAGGCTGGCTCGCATCCCCCTCGTGGGATGAAGCCACCAAGACTGGAAGGGAGAGGCTGGGGGCTGCTTTGCTTCCAACACTCGGATAGGGCTTAGGCGGCTTCCACCAGAGAGGGGGCAGGGGCCAGGTGTCCCCAAAGGCAGCTGGGGACACTGCCATGGGAACTTCTGGAAGCCAGGGCCTGTCGTCAGGCAGGGCCGACGCGAGGCCCTGGAAGCGGCCGCGTCTCCCCGCCCAGTCCGCAGGTGTCGCGGCCTCGGGGGGCGCAGGGCTGGGCTGACAGGAGGACCACCGCGCCGCACCGGCGACGGGGCCTAGGGCTGGGCCTCCGCGGGCGAAGACTGGCCTGGCGGCTGAGCCCGTCAGGGAGGCGGCCCAGCCTCGTTGGGCCCGGCCCGGCGGCGGCGGGGGTGCGGCGAGCGAGGCGGGGCCTCCGCGGGCCGCCCGGGCCTGGGCTTCCGCCGCGCGGGGCGCATGGCGGCCGGCGGCCCGCTCACCTCCTCGGTGACCCGGGGCTGCAGCTTCCCGCGGACGTGGCTCCAGGGCACGCGGTGCAGGTGGTGCAGCTGCCCGAGCAGCAGTAGGGGCCGGCTCTGCGGGTCCGAGTCCCCCGCGCTCGCCTGGAACTGCAGCCCCACGTTCGCCATCTTCCCGCCGACCCACGCCCCGGCCCTGCCCGGCCCGGCCCGGCCCCGGCCGCCGCTCGGCCCGTTCGCCCGCTCCGGCCCGGGCTCGGCGCCGCCCCGGCCTGCCGGCAGCCGCGGCCCCGCCTCCCGCTCCGGGTGCTCGCGAGACGTGCAGGCCCGCCCGGCGGAGGGGCGCCGGCCAGGCCGGCGGGGGTGCGGGCAGGCCCGGGCGGGCAGGCCACGGTCGGCCCCGAGACAGGCCCAGCCGAGCAGGGCGCTCGCGGCCCGGCCTCCAGCGGCACCGCCCCTCGGCCCCAGCGGCCCGGGCAGCCCTGCCCAACACGCGGGGCGACGTGGCCCGCCAGGCAGCGCCTCCCGGACAGGCCCGTCCTCCAGTGGGGCCTGGGCCGACGTAGGCCCAAGCCCACCCTACGCAGTTCTGGCCCGATCAGGCCTCAGGCCGGCCCCAAACAGGTCCCCCGGGGTCCCAGAGCAGCCGCTTTTGATCCCCGGGGACCCTGCACCCTGGCCACCCATCAGGCCGGAGGGGCCCAGTGACTCTTGGACTTGAGTCAGGTCCTTTTGTCCCACTGCCTGGCATGGTGGGCACAGCGTGGACCCTCACTTCCTCCTCAATCGGAGGTTCCCTGGCGTTTATCAGACCCCACTCTGCCAGGCACTGCCCTGGATGTGAGAGTATGCCAGGGACGTGACTTTCCATCCAGGGCACTGCTGCTGGGATGGCCAGTTACAAATCCAGGCACTGCCTGGCTGCGTGGGGGGCCTTCCCACCTACCCCTTTGCAAGAAGGGTTATCTGGCACAGTCTAAGCAGGAAAGAAGGGAGGAGATGAGACGAGGAAGGAGCAGGGTGACCTGAGTCACCTCAGTCGCCTTGCAGGGGAGGAAAGGCCATCAGAGGGTGCGGGGCAGGAGCCGGGTGGTGGAGGAGCCAGGGGTGAGTGGTGAGTGGATGGTGGAGGCGGAGGGTCCCACCCACAGGGTCAGATGCAAGGGTCAGGAAATGATGATGCATTGGGGAAGCTCCACGCAGGAGTCATTTAAAAGCAAAAATCTGTTACCCAACATCCTGATTGCTCAAGGGCCTTTGGTTGGTACCTTTCTGTTTCCTCCATGTAGTTCCATAAGCTACTCCTCTTATTTTGAGTTTCTTCTTCATTACCAGCCTAAAAATGGAAAAAAAGAAAAAAAAAAAAGCAGTGTCAACTCCCTGGCGTGGTGTGGGAGGTTTTCCACCACTGACCTCCCAGCTGGCCCCCTAGCTGGCCCCCTAGCTCCCTCACTTATAGCCCAGCCACAAGCCATGCTTTCACCTTCCCTGTCTGTGGACTCCAGGTCTCCCTGCTCAGCTCTGAACCGTGGTCCCTGGCCCCAGGGCAGGCCCTCGGAAACACCACATAGACTAGAGCATCAGCATCCTGAAGGCAGGTCTTTTTGCCTGTTTTTTTTTTTTTTTTTTTTCCTCCAGTGCCTGGCACAGAGCAGGCACTCAAAAAAAAAAAAAAAAAAAAAGCTGTTGAATGACTGAAAGGAATTCCTTTGAAACCCTCAGCTTTCCTGACATAAAAGTCAACGCTAATTGGATCTTATTTTCTTCAAAAGATTTTACAGCAGCTGAATGTTTTCACACATTGGTAAAGGGTACTAAGAGCGTGTATAAAGATCTCTCACTCTTTTTTCTGTTTGCAAATATGTTGCAGACAGGCACACAGCACTCCAGAGGACTGAGACAGCTGGAGGATCTTCCTAGAGGGTGAGAGACTAAGGCCATGCCCTGACAGATGTAATAGGACTTCCACAGGCGAAGAGGTTGAGAAAGAAGCCATTCCACGTGGGAGAAGTCCTGGGAGGAAACACAGACGCAGAATATGTCCAGCAGGCTCTGAAACCTGTGTGGTTAGAACAGAAGGTTCCTGGAAAATAGAAGAGTGGGTGAGGAGATCGACTGGGGAGCCTGGTTCACTCTATAGAATTTTACAAACTGAAGAGGGATCCAAGAAGCATTTCAGAAAGCCAGATCCAGCAGGTTTGTGTACCAGGAGTTGGAAATGAGATAAACTGTTGGTGGAGAGGTCATTTTGGAGATGTTTTTCTTTTAGAATTCTTTCATATTTAAGAATACACTGAATAACCCTGACAGCCCCCAGAAAGGATGAACAAAATGATTCAGTTCAACCAACATTTTGTACACAAAGCAAGAGAAAACATTAGATGCTTGTTAAAAGCAAATATTGGTGATTCTGGTTTTAAGCCACGCCTGAATTGAAGAAATCCAAACTAAACAGAACGCTAAGGAATTATTCCACTTCAAATGCCTGCCAATTTCCTCAAGATGCAGCTTGTGACAGATACAAATACATTCCAGGAAAGTACTTTCCCCTTTTCACTGCTGACTTTATAGACTTTAACATAAATAAGACAGGCAGCACTTTGTTTAGATAAATTTTGATGAAGGTCTTAATCCATGGCTTAGTATATATTTCACTATCAATGAAAAATTCACCTCTATTTAATTTTCCTTAAAAAATGAAAGTTTAAAACAAATTGCCAGATCTTTAATGCAACCCCAAAATCAATTTATGTTTTTGATGACTTGAAACCTATTCCACATCCAATTGGATGTTCAGACTTTGCTCAAAAGTTAAAGAAAAGATTAAAAACTTCTGGAACAAATCAGAATAAAGTTCCTAGAACTTATTAGGATGTTTTTTGGTACAGTTCACATCCTAGGACACATCTCTGAAATCCTATCATGTAAGATGGCTCTATGTGTTTGAAATGTGCATTTATATGTTAATTTCATGTCAGGCTTCACCCGTATAAAACCTAATGCCTGCTTAGACTCAGCTGATCGCCACGAGGCTCTCAGATTCCATTATATCCGATACTTCAAAGAAACACTCATTTCCGTGGTGCATCTGCTTCATGTTTTCTGGTGTTTTCATTCATTCATTATTTGACGTACATTTGTTGAACATCAGTTCTGAAAAGCTCCAGGACCCGTCAGGCTTTGGGGATGCAATAGCATGTATGTGTGTGTGTGTATATGTGTGTGTGTGTGTGTGTGTGTGTGTGCGTGCATATGTGTGTGTGGCCAGAAAGAGGAAGGGGGAGCAAATAGAACAGTAAAATCCAGAGATCCAGTCACTGGGAGAAGACTGAGTTAGGGAAGGCCCCTTGGACTACGATGAGACTTTTGAGTTGGGTCTTGAGGGATGGGTTAAAGTCTGTCAGGCAGTCTGATCCCCGACCAAGAAATTGTTCATGCAAAGGCCTGAAGTAGTAAAGGACATTGTTCATTCTGGTACTGTCAAAAGCTCATGTGGAACCAGGCCCCGTGACTCAGGCCTGTAATCCCAACATTTTGGGAGGCTGAGGAGGGTGGATCACTTGAGGCCGGGAGTTTGAGACCAGCCTGGCCAACATGGTGAAACCCCATCTCTACTAAAAATACAAAAATTAGCTGGACATGGTGGTGCCTGCCTGTAATCCCAGCTACTCGGGAGGCTGAGGCACTAGAATCACTTGAACCTGGGAAGCGGAGGTTGCAGTTAGCCGAGATCGCGCCACCACACTCCAATCTGCACTACAGATGCTCTGTCTCAAAAAAAAAATAAGAAAGAAAAAAAAAGAAAGGAAAAGCTCGTGTAGCCAGACATAAAGTGTGCATAAAATATACACTGACCTTGCAGGTTGTACTTGACCTTGCAAGTAACTGGAAACCAGTGGAAGTGCCTCAGGCAGTCCTAAAGTGAAATCAAGGAAGGGCTCCTTCCTGCTTCAGAATGACCTGCTCCTGAGCCCAGAGGAAGCAGAGGCAGACTCAGCTCCAAGGACCTCCCTCCACCACGTGGAGCTGGAGCAGCTGGCTGAGAAGTGAGCCCACAACCAGTGAAGACTGTGACAGCCACACGACCGCCTCAAATGCTGCCCCGCGTTGTGGATGTTTGTGCTGTCCCTCGCCACAACCTGAGTGCCTGCACAGCAGGCAGGGCCTCCGTTCCCTTTTGCAACTGGCACCAGACATGCCACCTAGATTTGCACTAAATGTTCCCTGAAGGGAGGAAAAAGAACTTGTTGCCATGAAAACACATTTCTCTAGAAACTTTTTTGAAAAGTTGATTAACTTTTGGAAAAGATGAAAAACTAGTATAATGAACACTTGTATACCCTTCACCTAGATTCATATATATATACACACAGATATATATATACATACACACACCCACACAAATATACACATACACACACACAGCCCCCCACACACACATATACATACAGGCACACCTTGGAGATATTCTGGGTTCAGTTCCGGACCACCACAATAAAGTGAGGTATGCCTGTATATATACAAACATGCATATATGTGTATGTGTGTTTATGTATATGTATATGTGTGTATGTATATGTGTATATGTGTGTATGTATATGTGTATATGTATGTATGTGCACATATTTTTCCCTGTACCATTTAAAGTAAGTTGTATACACCCCTACCTCACTGCGTATGTCTTAAGAACAAGGACACCAGCTGGGCGCGGTGGCTCATGCCTGTAATCCCAGCACTTTGGGAGGCCGAGACAGGCAGATCTCCTGAGGTCAGGAGTTCAAGACCAGCCCAGCCAACATGGTGAAAACCCGTCTCTGCTAAAAATACAAAAATCAGCCAGGCGTGGTGGCACGCGCCTGTAATCCCAGCTACTCGGGAGGCTGAGACAAGAGAATCGCTTGAACCTGGGAGGTGCAGTTTGCAGTGAGCCGAGATTGCGCCATTGCAATCCAGTCTGGGCAACAAGAGCAAGACTCTATCTCAGAAAAAAAAAAAAAAAGAACAAGGACACGAGCCCACATAATCGTGATCATGTGCTGATCATACCCATGAAATTTAACATTGAAACAATACTATTATCCAGTATACAGTTTGCAATAAAACTTCAATTGTCCCCTTGTCCTTCATGGCTTTTTCTTTTTAAATCCAGAATCCAACTAAGGCATTGCATTTGGTTGTGAAGACTCTCTGGCCTGCTTTAATCCAGAACAGTCCTTACCGTTCTTTCACGCACTGGTACGTCCTACAGAAGCTCTCACCATCT